AGATAATGATTGAACTTAATTTGCCTCTTGAGCTTTGCAACAGGTTTAATCAGCTCAAAGAGGACTCTTGAAAAGCACTGAACACCACAGGGCTATAAATGTTATTCCATGGGCTAAAGGTGGAGCCGATGATGAAGGCATTGTCTTCTGCTGGATGCTGTACAGATTAAACTGCATCTATTCACTGGGAAAAGCAGAGAGACTTCACCATCTGTGAATCCTGCTGGGAATAAAAGTAATTTGCAAAGAGAATAGGGTGAGAAACTGCTATCAGACAGTGCTGTGGAGAGCAAGAGTGGCACACAAACTATTTCCTGTTCTCAAAGCAGAAGAGAAAGGAATTTAAATCTCCCAATCACTTTCCAAATTAATGGAACATTTGATGAGGGTGGTGGGGAAGGTCCTTGCCTGATACTGGGTTTTATTAGGTGCAGAAGTAGGATGTAGAATGGGAAAGAATGTGTTCATTTTAACACAGAGAGATCCTTGCAATCACACAGGAATTAACAGATCCAAAAAGAACAAAACAAGGGCTAAAAGTAGTTAAAAACTCAAAATGTTTTTTATCATTTAAGAAGCAACTTAGCCTGCTGCATTTGTCATAGGATCAAGTATTCTTGATAACTACTGTCCTCCTCAGGAAGCAAGAACTGCTATCACAGAATTTTTGACAGTCAAGCAGCCCCAGCCCAGTGTGGAGGGTTGTGCCCAGCACATCTCCAACCTCAATCTTCTGCTGGCAACCTCTGTCCTGGCACTACATTGCTGTGGTTGTGTTGTGGTGGCAGAAATAAAAAGAAAATAAGAGAGAAAAAATAGTTACCACCCAACAGTGGGGCACAAACTATCCATCCTGTGCTATATATTAATAAAAATATGCAAACATATTTTTCATATAGCTAAAGCTTTAGTAAGGCCTATGAGCTCAATATTCCCTTTCTTTAAAAAAAAACACCCCAAGTGCTAGGATTACAGTTCTTCCTGCTTTTCCTCCAGCAAGGTAAAAGATGCTAATGTAAAAAGGCAGAACAAATGGGCTCTTTATTTTTGCAGGACAAAGAGCATTTGAACTCCATCAGTGGCTCTTTGACTGCCTTCAAAGCTTGTCTCTGACTAAATTAAAGCCTCTGCTCGCTTCTGATTTGTAGTACACTGTAGGCTTTCCATGGCACTAGCAGCTAGATGCATGTAATAGCTATCTTACAATAACACAGCTAATGAAAAAAAAAAATCAGAATTAAGATTTAGGAAGGGCTATGTCCTCACTCGATGCAAAGGAGCAGAGCTCCCCTAAGATCAATTTTTATTATGCCACTTTCCAGTGGCTTGGAATCTGTCCCTTAATTCAATGAGCTAGCTCAGAGAGAAAAGTCTTAACCTTATCCTGTATAACCAGGATAGCACATTGTGAGGTCACTAATAACATGAAATAGTTTAACTGGAATTAAAGTGATTTTGCCAAGTTAGAAAGGCACAATTTAGCAGATGAACCAGCAAAATTGGCCCCAAAGTAGGAGACCACTGATCCTCATCTCACTTAATTTAAAAGGCACTCCTGTGAAATGTGAGGTTACCTGGGTACAAAGAAACCTCAACCACAACAACAAAGAGGAGAGCAGGAAAACACACAGAAACCATTTACAGGGCCACGTGCCTCATGCATTGGCATTTCTACATCATAACATTACAGTAACTGGGCAACACCTAAAAATTTACATATAGAAGGGTTAAGGGGTTAACATGTACCATTTAAGTAAATGTACATTTATTTCCCCTTTCCTCGCTGCAAGGCTGCCACTGCACTCCTGAGTGAGAAGAGCTGTAGACACTGGAAATCTTGCTGCAGGAAAAGAAGAGTGACCCCTGAGCAACCTCTTTAGATGTGAGAAGGGGGTAAACAGCATTGGTTTACCCTGTATTCTTCCTACATGTCAGCATAAAGTAATGGGAATAGATTGGCATTATTGAACTAAAGCAAATAAATTGGCAGTTTACTCCTAAATTACATTTAGTCTACTCATACCAGCATCGCTGCAGTTTCCAACCAGGTTACACTGCTTCTAATAAGTTCTGAAAATGCTTTAAAATCACTCATTGATTTTCATTAAAGAAATCCAAATACCAACTCATGAGAAACTCCCTAATGATAACTAGAACAATAACCTTGAATTGCTGTAGTGTTTTCTTTTAGGCAGTGCAGTTTACCTTGTCTTCAGTGTTTAGAAAATGAGAAAATATTTCAAGGAGATGAGCCTCAATGGAGATAATATTTCTATAGTAATACCAAGTGTTCTTATGATGAGAATATCCATGAAAGAATTCACTCACAAATGCGAGGCTGCTCCCAACAATTTGAAGTTTCAAGATGGTGAAGAGAGAAAGCAGAGGTGAACTTTCTTTTGGACCCATTGGAAATAAAGCTAAATTGCTTGAATTGGAACAATAAAAATCATAAAAGCTCCATACAGGAGTCATGCGCAGGGTTATTACCATAGGTACTTGTTAAAATCATGAACAGAGGACCAAAGTAGCAAAGATTCACTGGAGGCTGCAAGTCAGGAATGGAAAACCTTTCTGTGCACTTTATAGAGAGAAAGAACAATATGTAGTCCCACTCATTTAAACCTATATTTTATCATCTGTTTTATTAATTCATTATATTATCATTTAAATGATGAGTCCTAAAGCAACTGATTATTTCATTCCTGTAATTTAGAACAGTGCAGTTTGAAAGAGACATTAGGACAGCAGTAAGCTGGGAGACAGAGCAACGTATGAATCATAAATAAAAGAGAAAACACACATGCTTAGCGTGTGTCACAAATTTGAAATAAGTTGCTTTGGCACAGCCATGAGACAAATCCTTCCTGGAGGAAGCAGAAGGGATTAGTAATTACATCAAAATATTAATGTCCCAGTTGACTTCAGTGCCCAGCAGGCAGATGCTTCTCCAAAAGTTTTGAGAACTCACGTGCTGCCATATGAAATACATGAGCTGAGCAATAAGGGGTAGGAGGAGCTGGATTGCTTCTTTTCTCCACTTCCCACTCTATTACATTGAATACAGTGGAGGATCTGTATAGGCCTCATGGCTCAATTAGTGCATGAAATTAGCAGAAACACCTGCAGGATAAGGTCCTTCTGCACTTACAATACACCTGGATACTGGGCTAGTTATTTAATAAAAAGGAAATTTAATATCTTCAGCTGCCCAAGTCTATGGTGTGGCTAGCAAATAAGGTTTATTGTAATTTTACCCTATTCAGAAACTAAGATATTTACTTATTAAATCATAAACCTGAATTTAAAACATAGATCTCATTAATCCAGTGGCATTGGGATTTCACCTGAGGAGCAGGGTTTGGATGTTTATCATTTTCTCAGGCTCTGCACTGCTGTGCCTGCAGCTGGAACCTGTTGCAGAGCTCTGCACATTGGGGTTGGACACACTGCAGAGAGGGGACAAACTGGAAGGAGGCATTTCTGCAGGCAGCCTGCCCCAGAGCTTGATAAAGCACAGAGCAGGCGCTGCTTCCAACCACATCCCTGCAGCACAGCAGACACAAATCCTCCCAAACCTCTCTGCCCTGCTCCTCATCTGCCCCATCCCTCAACAACACTTTCAAAATGTTCCAAGTTTTGTGTCTTGCTGCTCATAAAGCACAATAAAAGAAATAGTGCCTATTACCCAGAAAACACAGCAGAATCCTGTTTGTTCCTGCAAAGTACCTTTCAATTTGCTTTTAAAAGGGATTGGTTTTGTTCCTAATGATACCAGGCTAATAATCCTGAAGGTTTATTTTTCAGGTAAAGCACTAGAAGTGTAACCAAAATGTCTTTATTAAGGCCTTTATGTTGGGATCATAAAAAAAAAAGGAAGTGTTTCTGCTTTGGAAAGACCAATATACCCACAGCCTTAAGCAGTCTGCAAGTCTGAATACTAATAAACAAATAAACAGGTTGGGGTTTTTTCCCCATTCACTTCAAGATAAGCAAATCCATGAAGAGCCATCAAACAGAAGTTTCTTTGGCTCCTACAAACTCTGTGCTCAAAACATTTCAAATTAAGAGGCTCTACCTCAGCTCAAATTAGCTCACATCACCAATGAACGCAAGTAAATAAAATGTGTATTTTGATCAAGATGCCAGTCTTTGCTCTGATCACTCACATTTCCTGCTGTCTAAATTGATTAATAGTCTATTTACTGGGAAATTTGCTGCCTAAAAGTTGCAACTGACAGCTTAGAGCTTTCTGAAGGCTGCTGGTTGCCAGTTCTGGGACTTCTTACTGTTACAGGTCATTGCACCAACATGTTGGTACATTCTTCGTGACATTTTGCTGCACAGCACTAAGAAAGCAGCTGTACATATGTGAACAGGCATATAATCTTGTGTTTCTTAGAGTTCAGAAAAAGTTTTATCATCTTGAGCTCTGTCAGTCACAGAAGAGAGCACAGTTTATACCTGAGTGCCCCAAATTGCAAATTATTCCCCCACTCCCATTTTCTCAGTAGATTCTGTGAAATATTGAAGCTTGGCTGTAACCACGGCTCTGTGTGAGATTGCTGCAGGCTACCCAGTGCTGTGTACTGAGGGTGCACGGGAACAATGCAAACCCACTCTAAAAATGCATCATCTGTCAGGATGGGAACTTATCTCTGCAGACTCCCTGGCTCTTTGCCTTGAACGCTCCGCAAGCGATTTTGTGAAATATTTTCTCTGAAACCACCGAGGCCGTGATTTCTCAGTGATCTTACTGAAAACTAGGAGAGAACGTGCCAAAACAGAGCTCTCCAAGGATGCAAGCCCTGTTAGTTCAAGCTCAAGCCACACTGAAGAGCATCAGCAGGTCTGGGAGCAAGGCCCGCACCACCCTGCAGGATTCAGCTGAAGGTTTTCCCATGCAATAAGGAGGAATTATGTGGTGTCTCTTTGTCTTACAGCAAGCACACACAAAATCTGTGGGCAACTGAAAATTAAAGCAACATAATTCACTTGACTTTCAGCTTCAGTTTGTCGCTGAAATCCTATACAGTAAGGCTTTAGTTTCAATAGCTCTCCAATGATTAATCATTTTCTATAGTTTCATGCAGACTCATTAGTATATTCTAACTTACTTTCTCTACTTTGTTTAAAAACCCCAGACTGATTAGCTCTGTGCAGCCAGATTTTCCCCAAAGAATTGGAAGTCTTGGTTATAATCAACAAGGGAATAAAACAAAGGAGAACAAGAGAGACAAAAAAATTATTCTAGAAACCTTTCCATAGAGGTAAGTGCTGCCCTCTCACTTGTAGGGTTATTATTTAAAAGTCTTACAAGTAATTTTAAATGCTCTTTTAGAGGCAGAATACAGTGCTATTCATCTTCACCAGGAAGGAATAGAAATGGGTGAGGGAATTCTCTTTTAGATATGATGAATTTAGTTTAAAACTGAACAGTCACGTAAGATCTCTGGCATTGCTGGGGTGTTAGTTTGGACAGATGACAGGATGATGGATAAGGTTTTGATTCAACAGCACAGAACAGGTTTTTTTAAGCGTGTTGCAAATAAAACCAATCAAAGATGACTCATGCTGGGAAAAAAGAAAGCAAACAGGACATATAGCTGCAAAAAACCCTCACAGAAAGCAGGATGGCTTCAAAGAACAGCTTCCTGAAAAGGAGTCTAAAAGAGAGAAAGAGGAAGAAAAAGAAGGAATCAGCTGTTGTGACAACTGCAAAGTCATCCAGGCTTTGAAGAAAGAATTCATCCTGAGGTTTGCCTAGGAAATTAATATCTTTTCATTAAAGTAAAGGAAATACAAATTGGACATTTCTATCAGAGTTCCAGAAGAGAAGTCCTAGACAACTTTTGGATATACACTGGCCATGAGCTGAAGATGAAGAGAAGAGGGAGGTGGAGAAGCTGTGAGAAATAACTCAGCACACATCCGTGGGGCCCTGCACATTCCACTTGGTCTGTCTTTTCTTGGTGTTCACGTGCCTTCTCCAATCAGCAAGACTGTCAGAAGTAAGTACACAACTCTGAGAAAAGCACCCTCTTACTTAACTATTTTTGCTGTGAATTCAGCAAGAAAATAAGTGCCAAATGATTCCCCTATAATAGCTTCAAGGAAAAGAATGTGATTTCTCAGATGTCAGTGTGGGGTTTTGCAAATATTGCTATTTACAGACTGGGCTGCACTTGAAACTCTAAGAAGAGTCACAATTTGGGTCTATGATCCTTGAAATGATATTTTAAAAATGTCCTTCCCACCTCTCATAATGCTCTTCTCAGAGGCAGCATTAAGTGTGTGCAAATAATGTGGCATGTAGGTACCTTGCCTGTTAGCAAAGTAGTAACCATGTATAAAATATTCTAGCCTGGTTTGATGTATTAGAAAACAAAGTAAACTAGACAGGTAATTAAAAGTAATAAACCAGGTTTAATTGGTTGAGTAACCACGTAGAAATTCAGTGCCAGCAGCAAAGGTATAAAAAACAGCAACTTGGGTTTTGATGTCATAAGTATCCCTGATGCTGTGGAGCCACAGTAATTTCAGATACCGTGGGGAAGGTACTACTTCATTACTATGAATATAGAAATCATTATCACATGTCATTCTATACACTTCAATAAAATACACAGTGCAGATAACTGACATCCCAGACAGATCAGGAAGGTGATTAAATAGCAGGTACTCAAGAAATATTGCCAATGGGGCCCAAAAGGCATTTTTATTTTCCTGCCGGGCAAGTTAATAAGTGGCCTGATGACCCCATCTCACAGCAATACACCGTTAAATCTCAATAAGAGTGATGACAAGCTGCCATAAATAAAAACATCCATCTGCAATAGCCCCCCACTAAACAGGGGTTAGGTGAGGCACTTGGCTAGCGTGAGTACTTGCAGCTAAGAGCTTTATCCTTCAACACCACGAAAAAATCTCCAGGAGACTTTCACAGGCACACACAGCCAGCACTGTCCAGAAGAAGTGGATGTTCTTAAAGCTCAGTGATCTCCTGAAGGCCACAGCCAGAGCTAGTGAAGGTAAAGCTGTCAAATTCCATTAAATGTAACACCATTATTCCCTTTTGACTCTCTCAGCAGAAACGCAGACGGGCCGGGCGCGGAAGGTGGGTAACCCGAGGAGCACCAGTGTGATGGGAGAGATAATGAGTAACTCCACAAGTTATTGGCTCATTAACAATGCCCTACAGGAAGGAATTTTCTGCCTAATAATAGAAGGAGCACAAGCACAGATTCCCAGTATGATCTGCAGCCTGTTTAATCCCACTGCTTTGGGAGTAGAGCTCTTGATTCCTCCCTTTCTCTGGCACTTACATAATTTGGGCACTGAAGTGCTAACTCTATTATATGGTTCAACATGAAAATGGAGAGTTTTTTCAAGCTTCGTTAATGTACTGTTGCAAAAATTGGCCTCAACTGAAGCTCAGTCATTTTCCAAGACTCACAATCCTCAGCAGAAGTTGTTGCTGAAAATAATAAGATACGTTTTTGAAAAGCAAAAACGACTACAAAATATCGCATATGATTCAAAATGGAGAACTCAGAATAGATAAAAACTCTGCCATATAATTCATCTGAAAAATATTCCTTTTGGGCCACTATGCTAAATTTAATCCTAGCCACAGTTGCTATGCCAAAAATGGTCTAAGAAAACAGTCCATATTTTGGCCAATCTGGTCAGTACCACCTTCATAATGTCTATCTCAAAATACTGACCTAAATTTAGAAGTATAAAGTTACTGTGAGAACAATGCTTTTGCATCCTAAAAAATTCTGATTGCATCTGTTTTCATGGAGAACAAAGGAAACTGCATTTTCCAAACCAAAGGTATTGCAAATCTCCATCTTATAAAGAACCCTAGGAAAAGAAATCATCTGCAGTTTCAAACCAAATGTTCTCTGATTACTGAACCCAAACAAATGTTTCTGTCTCAAAAACAAGTTTGTACTTCAGGTTTCTCTAAATATACATGCCAAGTATTTTTATTTGGGTACAAATAATATTTTAAATAAGAGGGGGGGAAAAAAGGAATCAAAAAGTAGTTTTTAGTTTCCAGTGATTGTGAGAAAACAGATTATACGTATTCTACACAATTCAAGGCACATGTATTCATTATTCATTTTTATTCTGAAGGTGCTATTTTTGATAACTTATCTTGTTTTTCATACATGTTGCACTCTCTAGCAGTGAAATAATTGCACTGTCAATAGCAGAGATAACTCCCTGAAAGAATGATGCTGTAATGGGAATAATGACATAATGTTTCATGTATCTTAACTGATTCTAATTAGCAAAACATTTACAACATGCCAGCAAAAGAGAATTGATACACAGAACTGAAAGCCTTATTACCTGATGCAATGGACATTTTGAGAAGTGAATATAAGTAGACAATATTATCACAGTGCCGTATACATTATTCAACTCAACTAAGTTTCCCAAACAACCAGCCTTAACCAAGTAAAATTCTGGTTTAGAAATAAAATGAGACAAGAAGGTCCTACTTACTCAACAGAAGTTTAATGTGAATGCACAGAGCGACAGGCAACTTGTAATTCCTTCATTTTTTACTTCTCTATAGCCTTGTATTCCTTCCATGCTTTACAGATCCTAAACAGGGAGGTCAGAGCAAGCAGGGTAGAACTAATGAAGCCTCTACCTGGATATGCTGGTTTTGTTGGCATAGTCCAGACTCTTAACCCTTGGCAGCCCAACTGGATGCTAAAATGCCACATTGAAAGTTTTAAAGAAAGCATTTGTAGATAATTTAGACTGCTTGTACCAGATTTGGGTTAAAATGCAAAAAAACCCCAAAAAAAACCCAACAAAAACAATGCATTTTAGCTGCGGGACAGAGTTTGAGACTCTGCAGCTTTAGAACCAAACAGATTTGCAATGACAATGACAGGGGAGCAGCAGGCATGAGGTGACACAGTGGCATCAGTGCCCTCCCTGCCCTGAATGGATCTGCAGCTTGGTCTTTATCCAACACTCACTTGTTCTGCAGAAGCCTTTTCAGAACACAAGATGCACAAAACAGAAGTAGTACCTCTAGGACAAGCAGAATGATCCTTTGTGCTCTGATAAGCACTGGAAAGGCTTCAGCTAGAGAGCTGCCTCTGCTTTTGGACACCACCTTCCAAACAGGAATTAAAGGAGGGAGAATTATTTAAGGAGCAGCAGTAGTGACAAGAAACAATGTGAAATGTTTAAGCTTTAATGTTAAGGAAGATGATATAGAAGAGATTTGATAATATGTAAATGACTCATTCATTTAATCCCTCTTTCATGGAAGGCAGTACCAGGAATAAGTGAAGCAAGAAAGATTTTGGCTAATAAATAGAAAAAAAAAATCTAAAGATAAGGAGAGGTATATACATCTTCTCCCTAGAAGTGAGGTTGACAGCTGTCAGGAATGACAGCAGTATGGTTGATCCTCTTGGGTACAAAAGAATGAATCAGACAACCTCAGGGAGCCTGGTTCTTGAGACTGCACTTGAAATACCTGCAAACTGGGTGTCTTTGAAACATGATCCAAATGCACAGAAAGGGCTCAATAGCACTGCAAAGAACTTCAGGGATTTGATTTTGTAATACTGTTAAGGAAGAGGAGCCATGCCAAGATATGAGTTCCTTCCATATTTGAGAGAAATACTGAATAAAGATTTAAATTCTCAGTTATTTGAGATTGTTGAAATTCTCAGACACTATTTATGATGAATCTTGAGACTAAACAGACAAAAGCCTCCAAAAGGGATAATATTGGATGAGCAGGACTGTCTCAAGTTCATAGGATTGGCAGGCCAGTGTTAAAAGAAATCTTCAAGCTGGTAAAAAAAAAAAAAAATAGAGAAGTCTGTAATTTTCCATTATCACTTCTTCAGTAATGTTTTCTCTATTAAAATAACATCTGTTGATTAATTAAACACCTTAGCATAATAATCAATGCACAAAAGAATAAACCTCCAATATTGATTAAAGCTTGCTTTGAAAACCGCTTTGAGCTCTTTAATCACAGTTTGTGGAGAGATGGTATTTTCTAGAACAAAACAGAGCAGCATGGCAAGTGTGAAAGTGTGACAGAAGAAAGGTACACAATATGTAACTGTTTAGCTGGGGATGTTGAAACAAAGCATGTTCAGCAATGGAATAATGTGACGGGTAATTTACAGTGATCTGATGGAAGCTGACTGAATGCCAAATAACCTGGCTTAGTCACTTTTTTTTTTGTCTTGCAGATACTTTGAGTATCTTTTTTCAAAGCTGGCTGTAATTGACACATTAGATTAGCTACTAGACCACCTGCAAGGAATAAAAAGTGATGAACGTTGATGTTTATGTTTGCTAGGGCCATTCAGGAGCAATGAGCTTGATCCTTCCTCTACCATCCAAGTACAGAAAATTATGAGCCTCCATGTGGATAACAGTGAGGGTGATAGCTTTTGTACACTTTTCCTCTTTTGAGAACTAATTCCCTAAATAATATATACAAATTAATACATATTTGGATGAAATGCAAAGACTTTGGAGGACAAGCTGGGAACATTGCAGGCTCTGGTCACTGAAAGCCACAGAAAGGCTCTTGATGACTTCCGTAGATAATGGATTAGAAATAAATATATTTGGATTTTTACTTCCCCCAACTGAGAATCTTTAAGTAATTAACACATAATGCCTTAGATTGGTCATGCCAGGTTAGTGCCTTTCATGTTAAAGAAACCACTTCCTAGAAAATCAAGTTGATAACATGGTAAACAATTAAAAGTTACTTTGTTTTCCATATGTATCCAAATTTATCTAATTTTATAAACCAAATGAGGAAAGTCCTGTATGCAAGACTAAAAATACAACAGCCCCACAGCCTTTCATATGACTTTTTGCCTATGTCCAGACTGTGACAAATCACACCAGGATTTGATTCAGTATATCCAGAGAACTGGAAAGCAAAATTGTTCCATATAATTTATAGTTTCGTTACTCACATTTTTTAAAGGCATAGCAGTTGCAATTTGGATTTATTCTTCTATGTTATTAATTTCAAGTCAATTATAATGCAAGGAAGTTACACAGTCTGTTAAGTGTTGCTCTGATGAGCTTGGGGCTGTTTTTCTGAGAAACAGGAAATGATGAAGTCTGTGGAACTGAATGATACCTTCCCATGTAAATATGATTCTGCAAGGCCACTGCCCCTTCCTATGCTATGAACCAAAAAAGCAACTTTTATAGTTATTATCCCAACATTCTACATATATATGACAGAACCTGCCAGCCAAAACCTGCAAACCTACAATTATCCAGTGCAGCAACTCCAATTATTTCTGTAAATGTTTTTGTTTGGTACAATCCTTCTGTTTCTGTCACCAATACTCTGTTTTTACAGATGAGCCACATCCAGTTCTGTTTATCTTCTGTCTTTTTACCTACAATGCATTAACTAGTTCCAGTGGCTTTCTTGAAAGCATAATGACTTTTCCTGCACTCTAGTGAAAATATATCCCCACAAATCAAGAAGAAGCAGGTTCAGACTAAGTGGTTGAGAAGATTTACATTCTATTGCTAACTCAGTTATTACTCTGCTGAAAACCCCATAGCATCAATATAATGAATCCCTCAACCTCTGCTGCTAGCACAATTTTTCTTCCCAACCTCATTGGCTCCCAACTTTCTGCTTGACCTTTTACAATCTGTGTGTGGCAGAGCTTCATTACAACCTTTTAATGATGCACAAATGGCACACAACACCAAGGTCACAGCACATCCCCAGTGAGAACTTCTCCAACACCTCCTGAGCAGGCAAAGAGTTTGCATTTAAAGAGACAGTTCAACCAAATTTACAATTTAGCATGAGTCTCAGCAGCTACTAATACCCACCAGAAATGCCATAAAAGGAGTATCTGCTCCCCAAAAATGTTTTTCTTAATAAAAGTCAAAATCTCAAGCCATCAGTGACCAAATGAATAAAATGTGTTGCTGAAGAAACTCAGGAAAATTACAGTGCTTTTCTGTATAAAAAAAATATTTAATTCTTAAAAATAGAAAAAAAAGTATACAGAAGGGATAGAAACACTCATCCATCTAGAATACCAGAAATTTTTCTAATGTCTCAGCAGTCAGGTTATGCATTCCACACCAAATAATCACCCACTTTTTGTTAACACAGTTCAATCTCTGTTCTGCAATTTTCCAACTGGGATGCAGGGATGCCAATGTTTAGGCCTATTTCAAAAGTATTTCAGGGTTTTGTACTGAGAGTCCTATATAAATTCAAAGCATCTTGCTATTCAAGCATGTAGACTGTAAAGCACATTATTCAGTATTGGTTAATGCAAAGTCACTGCATACATGCATATATTGCACCTCAGTTACTGCTCAAGCACAGAACAATGTTTCAAGTGAATATTTAATATTACCTTCTATGCTTTTGGTATATGGAGCAATTAATTCTCAAACCCATAGAATTCCATCTAAAGTTACCTATTAGGCAATGGCATGTTCCTTTACTTTTGGCACTTTGATCTTCTCTTTCTAATACATATATATGTATATATAATAAATATTTCCATTCACTGTGTGCAGGTACCTGCATGCAAAAGTACACTCAGTGCACTTGCCTTGCTCAGCTCTTTTCTCTTACAATGGGGGAAATTAGGAATAACAAGCAATTCAGTGCAGCCAGACATTCACTGCGCAGCTAATCTGTGAGGAGATTCAGCACCAAACTAACCTGTATCTCATGACTGAAATTACAATGTTCATGAAATAACAGAACACTTCCAATGATGAGGATCCACAGCTTCTCTGGACAACTTGTTCCACCACCATCGTTGTAAAAAATGTCTCCCTAATGCCCAGTATAAATCTTGCCTCATTCAGCTTAAAACCATTGCCCCTTGTCCTGTCTGTACTTGGCAAAGTCTCTTTTCCATGCTTCTTACAAGCTCCTGTAATATATCAAAAGGCCACAATAAGGTCTCCCTCTTGTCCAGGCAGAGCAATTCCAGTTCTCTCAGCCTCTCTCCATAGCAGAGGTGCTCCAGCCCTCAGAGCATTTCCCTATCCCTTGTCTGACCCCATTTAATGAGTGCACATCTCTCTTGCACTGGGGGCCCCAGAGCTGGGTGCAGCACTGGAGGTGGGGTCTCACCAGAGCAGAGGGGCAGGATCACCTCTCTCAACCTGATGATCAATTAATTGAATTAAATAGGTCACTTTCTACTCCCTGAATTGCCACTGACACTTTTGACTTTCTCATTCTACTTCCATTTCCCCATTTGTAAAATTACATGACATGTTTTCCTCACCCATAGAAAAGCATAATTTAATGATTGTTGAAGTCATGAAGATGTCTGAAATCCTAGGACACACACAGCAATCTAAAAATGCCATGCTTATGATTGTAGGTATTTGTCTATTATTAAACATCAAGAAAAAAACAATCCCTGATACTAGTACAGTTTTACTACTGGCATACTGCCCTGGATCTGAAACAGTGTGGAAAAAACCCAAAGCAACAAAAACCATTGATCTTGGACACTTGAACTCTGCTTCCTTTGGACAAAGACTGCCAGGGTCAAACTCTCTTTTCATGACTTTCAAAGAAGTAACTACTAAATTGTTCTGGATTTACAAGAAGATAAATAAAAGCAGATACTGGCTGTGATCCTTTTAACAGCTTGTACAAATACACAGATTTGGTGCAAGAATACAATGTGAGTTTTACTGCCCTTGAAAGAGTCTTGAAAAGCAGCACATCTAATGCACTTATAAAATGACACCAAACAAAACCAAATACACAAAACCAACCAAGCACTGTGGGTAAAACCAAAAATCTGGTCTCTAAGTCTGGCCAGAGAATCCCAAAGGCTCCTTTGTCACACTGCCCCAAAATCCTCACCCAGCCTCCAGCAATGCATAGCTCAAACATTGTGAGGCAGACTGATGTTTACAAATCATAAATGGATCAGTAATAATTAATTTTTCTTCTTACTTCCCTCTTTGGTCCTATTTGGCTGGTTTGCTATTTATACCAGAGAATTAATTTGAAGTAGTAGGAGTCAAATATGCATGTGAAATATATTATTTTTTAAAAGAAGGCAAGCTCAATATAATGTCTGACATAGCCACTAATAAAAAAATTCAAGTTCAAGGCTGGATTTTGATCTTGCAATCCTGTAACTAGAGTTGCATCTGCACAAGGTAATACACGATATGGAGGCAGTAAGACAACCAGTAAAGGACATAATTCCTTCCAGAACTGGAAAAAAAAAATCCCACAACTAACAAAAACCCTCCAACAGACTAAAAAAGTTCACTGTGAGTTACTTTGCAAAATGTTCTACAAGTTTCTTGCTAGAATGACTACTACAGCTATGGCTTCTAAGGGAAAAATCCAGGATTTTATTTTAGGGACTACAGCTAGACTTTCCATATGCCACTCAGACAGTAGGAGGTTCATACACACTGTATAAAGCAGCCATAGGCAGATGCCTCAATCCACTTTTTGAAACTTTTCCTCTTCTTTTCCATATTTGGAAAATTGTATTTCACTTTCCTCACATTTTTAAAAATATACTTAGTAGCCCCCAGCTGTGCATCTCTATCCAAGGTGGGAGTTGGATGCATTTCACAGGATATGTCTGGTCTGCATCTGCAGATCTTGAAACCAAACAGCTCGAAACTTCTGAGTTTTTTAATAATGGAAGTACCAGGATTTGTCTTTTAATTAATTAGATAGAAATTGGTCTTCAATTGCAAATTTTGAAGGTTTTTTTTTTCTTTGTTAACAGCCTCTAAATTACCAAAAGATAAGACTCCACATAAATCAATCCACAGTCCCAATACTTTCATTAGCATGGCCATGAAATTATAGCAGAATGACAAAGAGACTGTATGTAATTAAGCAGGAGGAGAATAGAAACAACTCAAAGTGTCAATCAACAAATAATGAAGTGTAATGTACAAAAACAGGAAACAGTAAGTGGGGTTTAATGCAATTGTTATTAAAAAAACTTACACCATCAAAACATTCCCTTAAGGACCTAGCATTTCTGAAGTATAATGGAAGTTCATTTCTTATTAATTTTATCAGTTTCACATACAAAAGGACAATAAAAAATTGTCATTTGATGAAGCTGAGACTTCCCTAAGTTTACAGCATATTGCAGTTCACAATGGTAAGGTTTTAATACATTAATGTGCTGGGAGACGCTTTTTTGATAGAGAAAAAAAGGGAGCATCAAGTGATATATATTAATATATACCCCTACAGAGAATATAAGGATTTCAGTTTGGAATTTGATTACAGAAAATTCGGGAATAAATATTGTTATTTCTTTTTTAAGAGTGGAGGAAGATGTGCAGTAGCTTTGAGGAAATGGAGAGGTTGGAGGCAGGACAGAGAATGGAGATTTATTTGTGGTTGGGAAGTAAGGTCCAAACCTTCATGGAAAACAAAGCTCAAATTCAGTCTAAAGCATGGAGAGCAAATTGGAAACCTGCATCTGCTGCACATGATATCAGGTAATGAGATTTATTTTATTTTTTTACATTAATAAGCAATGAAAATCACTAACATTAAAACCTGTATAAAACTACACTATGGAAAGAAGTGGTTAATTGATTTAATGGTCCAATTTACTGAGAATTTTGCATGCATCACATAACATACCTTCTCTAAAGCTTTGTGATGTCACATAACCCCCTAAGGGACCTTGAAAAATCCCATTGCTGGATGTTTACACAACCACCCAGACAAGAATCTGAGCAGCCTCAAACTTTGATGGCAGCCCCCTTTTTGGCACAACACTGGAAAAAAAGAGACTTTTGCAGGTCCTGTTTGTCTTAAATGATTCTGTGGCTAGTGGCTTACTCCTAACAACACACTCATACCAAAGCTGTGATAATATTTTAAAATTATTTTTAACCAGAGTCAGACTTAATTACTGTAGAGCCATTATACAATTTTTCTTTAATGTGGTCATTTTGTCTCCTAGTTTGTTTTTCTTTTCTTTTAATTCTCATTTTAGTCTGGTGGTTTTAGCCATGTCTTTTGAGGAAGTGAAAAAAACCCACTCTTCAGTCTTGTAAAGCCATGGTTTGTATTGAATACCAGAAAACACAAGGAAGTGCCTTTTCCTGCAAGTCTTGATCTTGGAAATTCACTCTGCCACCTCACAGGAGCAAACCTGTACACACAATGACTTCAGAAGATCCTGCACAAGCATCAAACATTTACTGGCATGGCCACATTCTCAAACTCAGTGCCTTGTTTCTCTTTACTCTCTTCTAGAAAGCAACTGTGCATTGCCAGAAGCATCTGTATTCCTAAATCTCTTGCACTAAAATTGCCTTTCATGTGCTCAAGTGGCTTCTACAGGATTAGAACCTTTTGAAAATGTACAGCTAATATACACATGGATGCAGCCAAAACAGTTTACTGAATTAGAATATGGTTTAGTTTGAATTTCACTATTAGTGTATATAGTGATGGGGGAAAACCCAATAATTAGTACATTGATTTTTACATTACCTTAATTACCAGAATGTGCTTAGTGCTTTTCAGATACAGAAGTAGGAAGGCCTTTCCTAACTAAAAGAGGTTTTTTCCAGAACAGGAAGTCACCCACACACAGGATGATGCCTAATCTGTATCTGGGGTATTTTGTTGTATTTTATTCTACTGTTAGTCCTCCTGAAGGTGGATGAGACTTTTGTAACGTGTAATATATACTTGACTCCATACTTGCTATAGCAGTCTCAGTTCATCAAGACTATGTATGTGCTCATACTCACATATGTAAAATTGATAACATCTATAATTTTATATCTACACCGTATCTGTAAGACCATAATAAATCACATTTTTCATTAATAGAGACACTGCAATAACCACTCAGCCATATCTTGCACGAGGCTGTGTACCACATTGGAAGGCTGAGCTTTCACACGGCTCTTCAATTTTTTGTTATTCAAACTTATCCCTTAATTTTTCATATTAAAAATTGGTAATGAGGTTCCCTTCTTGCTGAAGAACTGGCAGAAAGAATCCTGTTGCTCCCCTAATGAAGTCCCCAGACAGAACCGACAATTTTCTGAGGAACAAAAGAAAAAATGTTGCTCTAAGCTTCAGAACTGACCCTATTGACTGAAAGCTGTGTCTTACCTTGTTGCAAATTAGTGCACTGAGCAAATTATCTCATGCCAAAAAGACAAGAGAAAAGGCTTAACAGCATTCATGCCCCACTTTTCCCAGCTGGTATTGTCAGCAGTTGTTTTGTGGGAAAACCAAGTAACATCTTAATAAGAGCATACAGCTGGAAATTAGAGACAAAATTGCCATCTTATGGCAGGGCTGCCTGGGATCATTTTGAAAAACTGTCTAGCACAGGTGGTGCTCTCCAGAAAGGGAAGGAAACCATTTTGTAGAGGTGTTGGAAAATGAAAATTGTAAATCTGGGCTTTCTCAGCATCTGGTCCTTTTAAACTGTTTGTGCTCCTGCCCCATATCAAGAGAGTTAAATTTTCTAACTCTAAAAAGCCAGAACTGATTTCAAGAATAGAAACTGTTGTCATGAATTAATGGTCAGGTCTGTTTTCATATTTTATTCTTCTGGTTCACATTATCTTTCCATTCCTCCTTTCCTTAGCATCAATAGTGCAGTGTTACCTTGCCTGTCTGCAGTACTGTTATTCATCCTTGCTCTGAGGAAAGCAATATAACCTGACCTCCCAGCTCTCCAACTTCCATTCTCCCACTCCATTTAATAACTTGATTTCTTTTACTTGTTGCTTTGTTGCTACTCTGCCTCTTAAGCTGTGTCTTGTTTCCACCTTCCCCTCTCACTCTGAGAATCCACTAACATCACGTCTCAATGTTATGGACATTTATTTTTATATTGCAATTGTTTGAGACTTTTAGCACAATAAACACTTCAAAAACTGAAGCACAGAAAAAAAATATTGAGTATGTTAGCCAAAAAGAGTTCTTCAAATGCAACTGGTTGGCATGGTTTAAACAAAAGCGGTCTTGGTTACAGAAGACACTCAAACTCAAACAATTCCTTTAATTTCATGAGTTAAATTTGTTTAATTATGATTCTCAGCTTCACCTTTTAACTATCCTTCTGTATCACATTTACTTGGGGGTTGGTTTTTGCACACATTGTGCAAGCAGAATCAGCTGGGATTTTGGAACACAACCTGAGCTCAACCTTACTTAGAACCACAGTGTACATGTGTCATAAAAACTATTCATCATTTTTGTTGTATTTATTATTAAAGAGCTAAAAGTTTATACTTTCTCTAAGTATTGACTTTCAGGAGTCAAAACAGGCTTTCTGCTCGCTTCATTAGTTAAAATCAATTTGAAATCAGCATTTTATATTGCAGGACCAAGCCAATCTCATAATATTGCCACAGTATAATAACAAACTGTTGAAAAGTTCCTTCCTTGTAGTAATTAGCAACTAGTGTTTTGCATTATAGCATTACTTAAATTCAATTGCTTGACAGACTTGCTGCATTAGTAAACTTTTTGCTCTTGGGGCTTCAACTTCAATTTCTGGTTGTGAGGGCAGAACGTCAAGTGGCAATTTTCTGAAGTTCATTCTTGCTGGTAAGGACCAGAACCCCCTCACTGATAACAAGTTCATTTGCTTCCAGGAAAGAAACAAATGATTAGGGTTAATTCCCTCTGGCCTTCATTAGGGAACAGATAGGAGGTAGCAAGTTGGTAACTTCCACTATTTAAACTTGAGCAATAGAAGGCAGAGAGCTTAAAAAACAAGATGATTATTTGTGTCCCTGTTGCATGTGTTGTCTAGAGTTGGGCTGATAAAGGGGAATGGAAGAGTACTTTAAAGAACTGCTTTTATTCATCTTCTAGGAGGCAGCTGGAAATGAAAGCCTGAGTCCATCAGCGGCAAGACCCCCAATGTGGTGCTGATAAAGGAATTCCAGACCCACTGACCACAACCAGGAGGCAAATCCAGCCTCATACACAGAAAACCCAGTGTGTGCTGAGCAGAGAGAGACCACCAGGCTTCTGCTAAGAAAAACACCTTACTGCTAGCATTTATAGTATGAAATATAAAAATTAAAAATATAATGCAATGATATGTAATATAAAAATCACATTGTACTATATAATACTTTAAATATTCGCTCATATATTATACAAATTTAATACAAAACACATGCACACTCTTCTGAAAGACACACCAATTATTCCTAGGGAGTAGACAAAGCAACAGGCCAGGATATGTCTGGGATAATGTGTTTGGGAAGGTCAGGGAGCCTCCTGTGATAATAATCCATCTCAACATTTTAGGGATAGGAAGGGACAAAGAGAAGCTGCAGTTTCATTAAATAGAGTAAATAATTTAAGGAGAGTAAAATTATTCATCCCAGAATAGTTTCCTTTAAAATATCTGCATGGCTGTGAAGCAAACTGCAAATCCTACCTTGTCTGATAAGAAGGAAACCAACAAGAGTGAAAACTGATTTCCTAAGGAAGTTTATCATGCAGTGATTCATTATTCTCTATTCTTTTCATTAGGGGAAAAAAGAAAAACCTCAAACTCTACTTTGTCATTTTATCTCTGTTCCTGGAGTAATCCAGTACAAGACAAATACTGACTCCACCACAAAACCAGAGACAAATTCCTCAAAAATATGTGTTTTAAGAGCATCCCTCAAATTGTGACTGTACGTGGAGAGGTGTAAAGGAGAAAAAAACCCACAGATATTCTGGGTAAAAGAAAAACAGAGATTGCTTTGATCCTTCAACCATAATCCTCTAAGATGAAGCTTTTTGTTAAAATGAGCAAGTAATTTTCAGATTTATAGTAAATATCTATGACCAACTTGGAGATATCCCCAGGTATCTTCTCTCAAGGCCCTGCAGTTACATGATGCTGCAGAGGATGAGAGGTACACGCAGCTTTCCCCTGTTCAGCTCCCCTTGTTACTATTTAAAGATATTATGATCCTTCACAAACTCATCTGCTTTTTAAAAAATTTTCAAATGCCTGCAGGGCTTTTTTTTCCAAAATGTGATACATTACAGATCATTTTATTATGTAAAATCTTCCTTTTGCTTATCCCTGACTACTCATGCTACTGTCCCTTTCCCTCAGGCATTCCCCTGGAGATGTGAGACTTTGCTACATCAGGAAACCAGGACCAGGAGCCCTGAAAACCTCAGAAAACCTCAGAATCTCAGGAAATTCAGAGATAATCCCTAACCCAGCCTCTTCACAGGCTCTTTGGGAAATAAGCTTCAGCTCCAAAATAAAGAATTGTATTGTTTTGCTGTTTCTGAGAAGAAAGACACCTTTGAACACTAAGCACAAAATACAACTAGTTCCATGGTCAATGGAGAAGAATTGTCCATTCAGGTGCAACAGATATTGCCACCAAATGTCACCAAACTTCCAAATGAACCTGATGCAGACACCCAGACCCCTTCACCAGCAGGGACTGATGCTTCTGGAAACACCTGCCAGAACAGTGGGAATAGCACTTCTGCCTGTATTGTCCATCTTCTACATGGAAAATATTTCAGTCCCAAATCTGCCCATTTAATATTTTCCTAAGTGGCAAATCAACTTTAAGAATATGTAAATACTGTCATAATAAATGGAGAACAACCAAAATAAGAAGTGTCCATGCTTAACACAAGCCAATATGAACAAATTTTTATTAAAATTCTGGTTTCGAGGAATACTCTTTTTTTTTTTTTTACCATGGGATGGGCAGATGCAAAATGCTGGGATTTTGGTCCTGATCTGATTTTTACCCTGTGTGTTTTAATTTGAAGTAAGCACATGACGGTATTTCCAATCTGTCTCTTGCTCTTAAACTGATCACATCCTCCCACGTGGCACTTTCAGGAGAGCCAGTTTCAATTACACTGATTGGACATAGGCAGGATGAGAAAATACACAGAGAAAATAGCATTTTAATAACTAATGAGCTATACAAGTGATGAAATTATTAGCTGTGTCTTTCAAACTTCAAATTTACAAGCCCCAAGATTACCCCTGGCCTGGGCAAAGGTGTGAAACTCCTGCAGCTTAGGAAGAGGAAGGTTTAATAGTGGAGAAACACAAATTACTGAGAGAACTTGAGCGTTCACAGACACAAGACTGCTCTCTGTGGGTTAAATCAGGGAAACTTGTTATTCAAAAGCCATAAAGGAAAATATTCCCTCATCTGAGACCTTCTGCAGAATTTAAAAGAAAACTGTTTTTCTTGAACAAATCAAAGAAAATGTAAAACCAAGAAGCTTTTTTGCAAGAAAACAAAGAAATGAGGAGAAAGCTTCGGCATTGACACGGTTCCCTGTCAAGCTATAGATCTGAAGCAGAAGGGCTCTTACTGGGACGTGTGCCACAGAGGAATTAGAGCATATCTAGACCTTGCAGCATGGTGCATCACTGTTTCCTGCACAATGTCATGGCAAATTTGAAGTTAGAAGCTTCACTAAGATTTTATAATATTAATTGTGTCACTGGTTCTGTCTTCCAGAGTAAAATAGCCAAATATTCAGTTGCTGTAAGGGAGACTCTTCTTCTTTGGAGGTCCTGTGCTGTTATTGCAATTTACAGTTTATCAATCTGTTCCCTAATCTATACAGGACATTTTCTTAAAAATTGCCAGTGACCTATTTTATAAATATAACACACTGTGGGTTGAAGACAGGAAGAAAGGAATAAATACTGGCGGGGGAAGTGAAAAACTAAAGCACAAGAATAAGTAGTCTTTAATAAACACCAGCTGGCAATAAAACTAGGGGTCTGAACAAAGTTCCAGGAGCTTTTCTGTAAGTGATGGAGCTAAGAAAGGCAACTCATTTCAAAACTCGGTTGGCTGCACCACTGCAGACCATAAACTTCATGAGTCATGGTGCTACCTTCACTGCATTTATCCTAAAATCAACTATTTCACTGGAAAAATGACCTTTACACTTGATGTAACATGAAGCATGTCGCTTATTGGTTTGAGCATTGTTAGACATTTATACACGTGTTGGTACTTGCTAAACAACAGAATAAGTTGTCCTAGGCTTTGGTTTAAAAAAAAAAAAAAAAAACAAAAAAAAACACCCAAACCAAAGCAGAACAAAAAGAAAGAAACTCAAGCCCAAACCTCTGCACTCTTGCAACATTATCTTGCTGAAACCTTACAGTAAAATTTAAAAACACAGCAGCTGTCATTTACCAGATTCTCCAGCACTCCTCTGAAGCCGGATAAGATGAATACCAAAATCTCTAAGGACAGTATATAAACTGCAGTATAAATGGGAAAATGTGAAACAGAATTCATTAAAATACATCAGTAGCTCTACTACCAGCTCAGAATGGATTGATTCAGGAGAAAATCCTGTGCACAACTGACTGAAGTGCTGCTGGCAGGCAGCAGAGGCTGAACATGTGCACAAGTGATAACTGGGGAGACTGCAGAAGGCCTCGTGTCAATTGAAATGCAAAGGCTGCACACAACCCAGGCTGATTCTCCACAACCGTTTTCACTGTTTTATTTCATTACTTTCCACAGCAAATGGCTCAGGACAGAAGGCTAGCTCCATTCTTTTAAAAAGTTTCAGTGCCATTGCTACCTGCTCAAAAATTTGGCTAAGTCAGCTCATCACTTGGGTTGTGTCCTTGCAAGGGGAGAAAACTTCTGTGATCATGATGTGCTCTGCCAAGGTTGCTGGTGGTTAAAGAGACCCTCAGGTGAGGGACACAAATACAGAGATGCTGAGGATCTATTTATCTTTGCATGCAATGAACATTTCAGTCTAAATTCTCAGGCACACTGAGGCAAAATTAAATTATGAGTTTTTCAACCAAACACTATTCAACAAACTAATGGTAAAACCAGATTTAATACCCTGGAACCCTGAATCATTATCCCATGCCCTTGAAACCTGTGCCTTCACAACAATATTGGACTCAGGTACTTTTCTTTAACTTATGAACACCTAGACTTTCAGTTTAAATACTCGCAAAACACATTTGACATTGCATTTTATCCCAGTCATCTAAACATGTTAAGATATCTTAAAAAATTTGCTTGGAGGAGGGGAGTTGGCTCTGGGCTGTGTAAATTGTATCCAGTCTATCCGGATTTGCTCATTTTATACCTTACCAATAAGCAAACAGATAATAAATGATATCCACAGCTGATCCAAATGGCCACATCTTCAAAAGTCCTTAGGGAAGAGCAGATGAACAACAGATGTTTTGGAATTAAACCTATGTTAGCATGGCTGTATCAACAGAACCTTCAAATGAAGGCCATGAGCTGAAATTACACACCATCCTACAAGAGATGCCTTTTGAATAAGACAAAAATGGATTTGGATGTCCAAAGTAGTTTGTCCAAGAACCCAAGAACACACAATTCACAATTGCCACTGGCAGCAACATTACTATCACTTCTTAACTAAGGAAGTTTACCTCTGACAAAGTCCAGACCATCTTCTGGATTTTCTTTTCCAACCAACTAGGAATTATACTGTATTTTGGAACATCATTCATTACTGTTCCTTTCCTTAGCCATGCTGGTTTTGCTTGCCTGATCTTTTGATATTTATTCTTTACATTTTATTTGCTTAGATTCTTCCACTAATTATCCTAAGATATTTTCATCCATCATGGACTCATTAGAGTTGTCACAAGACCAGTCCTTCCATGTACGAGTAGATGTTTTTGTAAATTAGACACGCAAATGTCCACAGCCTATTTAATAATTCCTAATTCTGCATGCACAGAAATAATGCAGAGACAGCCAACTAAACCCATCAGTGCTCTGCTTCATGGTGTTTTTCCTGTAACAAAAGCACAAAATATGATAAAGGGCTGAAATGAAGGCAGCAGAGCTATGCTTTAGCTAATTATGGTTAGGGAAAAAACACAACTTCATGACTGCCATTTGTCACAGCCCTAACTTTGTATTATGGGAGGAGGAACAAAACACGGGGGTGACTTTGCCATATACCAACACACGCCACGCTGTCAGTCCCTTCTCGGAAATTCCTCCTGAGATAATACTTCTGGGAATGACACTAATTAGTCACCAATCAACATTACCAGCTCTGTAA